TCAATAATGTAATAATAATGTAACTTGCACATAAATTATGAAAATGCGTCTGGCAACATTCAAGTTCTCTTTATGCTTTTAGCAACATTCTTGGGCATTAAGAGGGCAACTTCTGGTTAGCTTGGCAACATGTTTTGGGGGTTTCTTATAGAATTTATAATAATATATCGAATGTGCCCTGTAGCATAAATTCTATGGGATTTATAAAGAAATATACTTATGTACATATATGGGCAGGAAATCTCTCATAAAGGGAGGCTCGTTGCAAAAAATAAAAAAAAAGAAAAGATAAATAAATAAAGCTGTGCCAAGTGCGTGAGAGAGAGAGAGAGAGAGAGAAGGGAGAGCTTTTCCCTGCTCTCCCTCCGCCTTCCATCACCGCTACTCTCTATCTCCAGATGTGCCCGCTTGCCTCGCTCTCTCTCTCTCTATCTCCTCCTCTCCCACTCTGTCTTTGTGGCTCTGTATGGGCTTTTGGCATTTTTATCGCCGCCGTCGTCGCCGCCGCAGCTATTGCGACCTTGAGCATAACAATTTATTGCTACACGTGTGCGAATAAAGCAACAACAAAACCAACTACGACGCAATACGTACAACACACACAGAGAGAGAGAAAGACAACAGCGGTAGGTTGGGGGGGGCAAGAAGTGAGCGTTTGTGTGAGAGAGAGATAAAGACGAAAAGACGCGCCTAGCAACACAAAGTCCAAAGAAACTCAAGAAACTGCCAAAAAAAAAAAAAAGAAGGCAAAATGCTGATGGAAAAAAAACCAAGGCATTATTACCAACATATTTTTACAGTTTACATGCAAAGTTTTTAAACATTTTGTTATTATTTAATCATTAATTGTTTGTATTAAATTTGCATTGATATTTGTTGATATCTCTCTAACTTTCAATTGTTACATCGATATTGTTTACTTTTCGTGGCATAAATTAATGCAAAAAAGAAATAGAGAAAGAGCAAAAAGCGAGGCAATGAAAGTGAAAACCGCAAAATAAAACCCAAAAAGGAAATTAAACCTTTTAGGCAATTATTATTTTTTTTTATTTCTGTGTTCTGTTCTGTTTCCGTGAGTAAGTTCGTAGTTTTGTTTTTTTTCTGTGTTCAGTTTTTTTTCGCGCATTTCGTTTTCTACGCACTTTTTCCAGCCAGTTCATTAACATTTTTCCAAACACGCACACACAAAAAGCAAGGTGCGAAATGCCAAAAAAAAAAAAAAAAAAATACACAGAGGCGCCAACTTACGCATGTCGTGCCCTCTCCCTCTCGCACCCCCCCCATAACCAAATCTATTGTGCGTAGTTCAAGTTTTTTTTCCCCTGTTGCCAACTGACGGCGCCGCCGCCGCCGCCTTCGCCTCTCCCGCTCGCACGTGACACGCCCTCTCCCTTTCACTCGCGAAAAGGGAACCTTTTATACTAATTAGAAGAGGAAGAAGAAGAGAAGAACTGAACTGTGCAGCGCAGCGAAGGCGGCAGCAGAGGCACTGATATTGATACAAGTGCGTGTCTCTCACTCGCACTGGCTCTAATCAACCGCTTGCGGAAGCGAGATGGGTAGATACATACATATTTGCTAATCTGCGGCACGCACCTGATTTCATTTCATTTATATTTTTTTTGTTGCGTTCCTATTCTTCTGCTATTTCTATTTCGATATCTATTTCTAATTCTCTAGGCAGTGCGTGTTGCTGGGCGTTCAAAAAAAAAGAAAAGAAAGAAAAGAATTAATCTTAGACCACTTGTGTCAAGTTTTTTAGTTGCTGAATTAGCAGTGGAAAAGTTATGATGTTTAGAATGTGATGATCATGATAATGATGATGACATGGAATTCTTTCGTTGCGGGGGAAGTAAAAGCGACATTTGATTAGATTTGGTTTGTCAAAAGATTTGCAGTTTCCCCTATTAGTTTAGTATAAAAGTATTAATTGCTAATAATTGCACAATTTTATAAATTAATTGAAAAGTAATATGTAGAAGCTTTTTTGAATATTTCTTAGGATAAAATTATAAGAAAACTGAAGGTTCATATGTTAAGTAAGCTCAAAATATTCGCTTAATTTTTCATAAAATTCCTAGTGAAATTCTTTCATTTACAAATGAATCATTTTCTTCATCTTTTTCATTTTTGATGGCAACGCATAATTAAAATAAATAAATGGGCTCAGTGGTCGTGGGCGTTTCTACTCAATTTATGCTACACTTTTGCCGCCTACCCCCCTCCCCCACACACCACCCGCCGATTTCTTGTTTCTAATTTTATTCTATTCTCTGCTAATCGCTCGCGGCGACGGCGACGGCGGCAGCGGCGGCAGCGGCGGCGGGAGAAAATAAATACACGAATATGTGGAGCGCTTGGTAACAACACACAAGTCAAAATGCGCGGCAACGGTGAATGCGAAAATGCAAAAGCAGCGAGACAACACCCGAAAAAGCAAAACGGCAAAAAAGCAAAACCAAAAGCCACCAACAACACAATCAAAACAAACGTGCGAAACGTGCAAAAGTGCCGCGACGCGACGCGACGCGAAGTGTATATATGTATATCGAAATGTGTGAGAGTGTTTCTTGTTGTTGGTTGCACTTCGGTTTAACTGCACTCGGCAAATTGCAAGAGAAAGAGAGTGAGAGGAAAAGAGCCGGCCGGCCAGCCAGCCGGCATCTGAGCGCGCGGAAGAGAGAGCGAGCACGAGCATGGGGAGCAAAACAAGTGTGAGTGTCTGGTGGTTGCCTTTTATTGCTTTTGCTTTAGCTTATTTTTTCGCCTTTTTTTTCGCTCGTTTGTATGATGCATTTGTTGTTATTATTATTAAGATTTATTGATTTTATTATTAAGTTAATGCTTTTTTTTTTGCTATTGTTTCGTTTAGACAATCAAGAAACTAATGAATAGTAAGCTAGAATTTTGCATAGCTGCATTTTGCATTTTGCATTTTGCATTTGCATTTGCATTTTGTATTTGCCTTTGCAGTCGTAGTCGTAGTTGCCGTCGTCGTAATCGTAGTTGTAGTTGTAGCGTAAAGCGTAGTAAAAGATGATTGACGTGACGTGACGTAAGCGTGAGAGGCGGCGGCCCCCGAGCGAGACGGGGCGCGCGTGTGCGACTGCGAGGGTTGCTCAATGGATAGTAAAGATTTGCGCGCCAAAAAGAGAGAGGAGACATTGAACCCGGTTGGAAATAGTTTTAAAGGCATACACGATATCCTATTTTTTATTTTGTAATATAATTAATATTTATTATTTAATTATTTATTTTGAAGTGTAGGGATTTTTGTTTATGTTTTAAATGTTATTTTTACAAAATGGTAATGACTCTATTTTGCATTAAAAAGTTCATTTAAATTGCCTGACGCAATGAAATGTATTATTTTTAATTTTTAATGAATAACTTGGTGATTATTAATTATTATTTTATTATTAATGCAAATGAGAAAATGGGAATTTTAAATATTAGAAATCTTTTGGTATTGACTTTGAAGTTAATTGAATATTCTAAATGTTTTTACATTTCGATTATTATTAATTATTATTGTGAAAAATAAGAGGCAATTGGTATGCAATTAGTCGCAACTACTCCCTAAAAAAATGTGATATATAAAATGCCGGCAAAGGAGGAAAGGAAAATTTTGGGGCTGTCTGCCACGTGGCCATGCCGGGCAGACATCCTTGAAAAGCCCAACAACAACAACAACAGGCGGCGACATAAGGAAAAGCTTAGAAAATGTTGGGGTGTTGGCCCAAAAGAGAGCGCCAGATTCCGCTATATATATATATTATATAGTATATATGTATTTTAGCTCAGCTTTTATTTCATTTTTGGGCGTAGTACTAGTACTGCGCAAGAACATCATCCCCTTTTCCTTTTGCCTGATGATAACTTTTTTTCCTTCTTTTTCTGTGAGAGGATGACGCCATGGAAAAACATTGAAAACATAAAAAAATATATATACACACACACAACGTAGTATACACAATGAGCCATGAAAGCCACGCGCCAACATTTTCCGAGTTGTGTGTGGGTGGGGGTGGGGGAGGGAGAAAAGCGTAAAGGAAAGCCCAAAAGGCAAAACGGAAAACGGCGAAAAGCACAAACACACACACACACACAGAAAAAAATCAATGAGAATCGCCTCAGACAAACGTGGGCGTGTGCAGAGCAACGTAACAAGTTTACTACGTTTGCTGTTGACGTAGGCGTGTTTTTTCCCGCCACCACCAACCCCCTTTGATCGATTTTCCAATGGTGGTAATTGTGCGTGTGTGTGTGTGTGTGTGTTTGCGTGTTGTTGTGACTTGTTGGTTTCAGTGTATCTCTGTGCAACGCCCACACAAAACGGAAGTGCGAACACTAGTTGAATGTGCAACAAAAACAATGTTGAGTTAAGGCAAGAGAATAAGTGGTAGGAGAGAGGGGGAAGGGGCGGGAGTATAAGTTGTGTGGGAAAGAAAAGCGGTGGAAATTAATAAGACAACCCCGCAAGATATATCCTGTTCTATAATTAGTTGATTGCTTTTAACGATTAACCCACCAATCAATTTTACAAATACAATCTTATACAAGTCATTGATTATTTTAGAGCCAAGAAAATGTATAGGTATTTAATAGATCTATTGTCTTAAAACCTTAACTGCTTATATATATATAAATTTTAACTAATAGTAACTGATTAATGCCAATTAAGGAAGCTAAAATACCAAAATGTATACCTTTATTTCTAAAAATTTTCTAATAAATTTTGATTAAAAGCAACACTAGAAACTTGTATCTCAAATTATATACTTTAAACTCTGAATACCTAAATACATAAATTTTGACTAATATTAACTGATTAATTTCAATATAAAAACGAATATACCAATATTTAGAGCTCTATTTCTAAAAATTTTCTATTATATTGTAATTAAAAACTGTTTAAATCAACACAAGGAATCTTGTCAATCTTGTATATAAAAATTAGATAATTCTCAAAGTTAAAAAAATGTGTATTAAAAACTCACCGGAATCGGAGGGCGTCTCAATATTGGGTCCATCATCAACCATTTCATTGCATCGCGTATAGCTGTGATCACTGTGCAACATCATGCTGTAACTGTTGCTGATGATTTTGTTACTTTGATTGCGCCGCGACCGGGCATAGGGATTAGAATCGCCATCATCCGAATCACAATCGGAGCTAGTTGTTGGCGGTGAGGCCACTGTACTGCTGCTGACCACTTTATCGATGGCAGACTGTTGTTGCTGCTGCTGCTGTTGTTGTTGTTGCTGTTGTTGCTGCTGATGCTGCTGATGCTGCTGCTTAGATTGGGACTCAACCTCCTGATTGAGCACATCGAGGACATCGTCCATATCGTTAATGGGAAAACGGGTTGGAAACAGTCCCTTGGCAGCATTTAGCAAATAACCACTGATCTGGCTAATCACATCCACATCACTGGTCAGTGAGATATTATTGCTGCCCATCACGCAGGCACGCAGATCAACATTATGTCGGAATTCGGGGGCAGCCGCCACCTCATCGTTGAGGCTGTGTGGAGTGTCTGGCCTCTGGATTTTTCTGTTCTTCAACTCGCTCACCTTGCGGTTGCTGGACGAGGAGGACGAGACACTGGACAACATTGGGGGATTCCTTTTACGCAATAAACTGGTGCCCGGCGGTATCAATTGGTCTTCATTCAGAGTCTCGGAATACCTAATACGGCGACGCTTCTCAGCACAGGTATAATCCATTTCCGCCTGTTCCAGCTTGATAATCACTGGGAGTTGATCATCGTTGTTATCTTGCTGCTGCTGTTGTTGTTGCTGCTGCTGCTGCTGCTGCTGCTGCTGCTGCTGCTGCTGTTGTGTCTGTCCCGTCTGAGGACGCTGATAGGTTGAGTAGGGATTCGTTGAGCCAGAGACCTCGGCAAAGGACATGGCGCTGGTTTCACTGTACGAGGATGCGGCACTGTTGTTGCCATTTGCATTCATATTTGTCGCATTGTTGCAGCCCGCTGGCGCTGACCACATGAGGTCTGCATTAAGAATGCTCGGCTTCACATCCTCTCTCCAGTTGTATGGAATGCCGTCGGAGAATATTTCATTTTTGTCCTTTAAACAATCACTACGAATGCTGGGCATCGTTTCATCATTTTCGAACAGAGGATCGCTAAAGAAATTGTTGCACAAGTCAAAGTTCATTGTGGTGGAGTCCTCCTCCTCCGAGAATATTGGTAATAAATTCATTTTTTAATTCTGTGTATGTCCTATTAACTTATTTCCTGAGTTTGTTTTGGGCGCTGTCTGCAAAATAAGAAAATGGGGAAAATTGTTGTTTAACGATTTATAAAAATATTTCATATATACATTTTTTGTACTTATTTAAATTACTGGAAATTATTTGAAATTTAATTAATATTTATATTTTATATTTTTACAAGTCCATTTAATTAATAGAATTCATTTGGAATTATACACATTTATTATTTTACAAATAATAGGTATGTTAATGTTGAGCCAAATATGAGAGGTTCTTTACTCTCAAATTCTAAATTCTCATTTTTATTTAAATTTTATAAATTTGTAATTTTTTTATTATTTTAATAATAATTAAAATAAATTAAAAAAAAAAAAGTAGTAATTATAATAGCATTTTTAAACTTGTCCCGATTTCTATTTCATTGCCTGACGTCAGTGGCGGAGGGTTCAGGAAATGTTATCAGAAAGTAAATAAAATAAATTAAAAAAAAAAAAATAATTAATAGCCTTTTACGCGATTCAATTTAAACACTATTAACGGTTCATCAGCACTCGAACTTGCGATTCCTCCAGATGGACAACAACAAAAAAAAAAAGGGAATGAGAGATAGAGACGGCGGCCGCGGGCAGCAACGCCGATTTATATTTCATTTCGCATTCCTATTCCCATTCCAATTCTCATTCCTCTCATATTTGGCTGACCTTCAACTAATAAATCTCTCTCTCTCTCTCAATTTTTTTGGTTCCTTTACATGCCGTTGCATTGGCAGAAAACTAACGGTAAACACAGTACAGTTTAAAAACGCACGCATACACAAGCACAAGGGTCTTTTGCAAAAACTTCGAATCACTGAAATATGAATTATTTAATAATTATTATTAATATTTAATTATTATTAAATATTAATATAAAGAAAAGTTTACGTTTTGGTCACTTAGATTTTTAAGTTTAAATATTTAAATTTTTTAAAGGAAGTAAGTATTTTTATTTTTAAATCTCAGCACAGTTTAATTTATTATTAGTTGTACTTTTTAATTTCACAGCTCAAGACAAATTAATTGCAAGTAAATTGTAAGGCACATTAACTTTATTAAAATTCTTTTCTTTAAAACGATGAACACTGAACAAGAAAATAATAACGACTAAAATTCTTGTTCGAACCAATTTTGCTTGTGTGTATGCACGCGCGAGATCACAAAAAGGAATAACAGACATTTTTTCACTGGTGTGTGAGCGCATTAACAGTTAGGAATCGAGAAACTTCCATCTCCCCTTTCCCCCTTCCCGCATTCTTATGAAGTTCTCGCGAAATTCTTTCGAATTCTGCCTCTGCACTGATCTCTTTTTTTCACTAACAATTTCAGTTGTTTCGGGATAAGCCAGCCGCGCACTCTTGATTTCATTTCGCCTTCGCACTCACCGTTTTTCAACAGCTTTTCCTTTTTGTAGACGAAGTCCCGTTACTTAGACGGTTCGACTGCGTTGGTTGTGTGTGTATATATGTGCTGGTATCCAGTTGTCAGTTGTTGCGGGCGTGTGTTTTTTTTTTTGCGGATGTGTGTGTTCTATTCAATTAAATGTAAATGTAATCCAATTTGGTTAAGTTTCTTCGTTTTGCTGCTGCTGCTGCGTTTACCGCTGCCTTCTCTTTCGCGCTCTATCTCTCCTTATTCGCAAGTCTCACAAGTGTTGTTGCGCACTTTTTGCGTCAAACAAATACAATTTAGTCAAGAACACCAAAAAAAGGGACACAAAAAAAAATTCGTTTTCCTTTCTCTGCTTCGCGCGCTTTACTTGGATTTTTTCTTCGGTAAGTGGAATATATTCCGATTATCTTGTATTAGTTATGTGTTATTTCACTGGTTTATTATTTCTTTGATTTATTTGTTAAGTTTATTGTTTTCTTTCACTGCTTGTTGTAGGTTTTTGCGCGAATTTCCTTGGTTTAATAGGACTTTCGTTGCGTTTCTCCTTCTCCGGTTTTTGCACTATGGTTATTTCTGTGTGACATTTTTAACGGATTTGTAACAGTGGTTGTGTGGTTTTAGCGAACTGTTTTTTTGTGATTTGTTGCTTGTAATTAATTATTTCTTTACTTTTTGGACGTTAGCCTAGTTGGTATTCAATATTATTATTTCCAGAAACAGAACTTTGCTTTTTTTGTTGGGCGGGAAAACAGCCAAAAATCCACAAAGCGAGAGAGCCAGTTTCCACGTCAAATTTCGTTTAAAAAAAATTTGTTTTCCCGAATAAGCAGCTTGCACTGGTATATATAGGCTTCTTCAAAAGCCGAACGGAGTCGACGGTTGCCGACGACAGCCGAGAGCGTGATGCGCGATTTTTGTTCTCTCGACTTGGACAAATGCCGGTTCGACTCTCTCGCTCTCTGAGTCTCTAACACTTACTCACTCACTCGGTTTTTGTTTTGCTTCGCGCCTTTTGAGTGGAAATTTGTTTACAAACACAAAGCAAGTTGAACCCAGTGTGCTAGAGAGCAGTCGGGCAAGGGGAAAAAATAAACAAATTCATTTTGCATCATCTTTTGAAAAAAGAAAAAAATTAATGCAAGTGAGGAATGATAAAACATTTAAAATATATTTAACTAGCTTGTGAAATTTGTTTACGTTCCCTTAAATATAATAATAATTAATTCATATATTTTGTAAATAAATTGTGCAATTTAAAAGCAATTTAATGTGATATAAAAAAGGAATAAATTTAGGTATTTATTTGAAACAAAGAGCTTATTATTTTACGTCCTGTTCTTGCCTATTTTCCTGGTTTTCCTTTTGCTGACTGTCATTGTCTCTTTAATCACTTTTATCTATTTATTTTTCTTCCTTTGTTTTATGAAGTCTCTCGTCTGTGTTTTGTTTGTAATTTAAGCTGCACCTTTCACGCTTCCCCCTCTCTTCCGCTCATCCATTCTCATTCGCAACTCCAATTTCAGTTTGTCAAGTTAATTGAACCCCTGAACTTTGCGGCAAAGAAAAAGACAATAAAAGGAGAAATAAAATAACAAAAAATAAGAATAACAAGTGTGTGCGCGAAACCTACCTCAAGTCTAATTAAATTATACCCACTAAATGGTAAAAACAATGTCGAAAATAAAGACAAAAAAGAAATTCAAGATTTTCCATAATATGTGTAAAATTAAAATAATAATTATTCATTAATTATTATATGAAATGGAACAAATTAAATAATTTATCATTATCATACTTCAAATGCCGTGGTAAGTTCAATATTTAATTTAACAATTTTATTTTTTAACATATAAATAATTTTAAAAATACTCGAAAACTTTAATTTATTTTATAAAATTATATTTTTAATTTTGTTTAAAAAAATCCTTATTATTTTTTAATAATTTTAAAGCAGTAGATTTAACTGCTTATTTTTTGCCTATTAAGAAATAACTTAAATAACAAAACATATACATTTATTTATACATTTCATAAATAATTAAAATTTTTTTTTATTTAAGTTGAGTTGTATTTATTATTGTGATATACAAAATATCACAACTTAAAAAAATCAAAGTTTAAAAATCTCATACCTACGTCAAAAATTCTTTAATTTTAATTCGAAAAGCTGTTCAATGTTAGTTTTTATTGGGCTTATAAATCTGCAAACATAATTAATTTTTTTTTTTAATTAAGAATTTGATCAATTTTAAAAAATTGTAGTGGTTTTTTTTTCTGCCTGATATGGCTAAACCAATCCGGTTTTTATGCTGATCAAGAATATATATGATTCCTTCACAACGTTTTTACCTTCTGACTAAAATTAAGATATGATTAGGATTTTTCTTAAATACACTATATAATCTTTAGATTATGATTTATTCATAATTTTAAGACTGTTCTTAGGGCTTTTCCTTATTTTTCCCACCAACTTAATAATCGAATAATAAAATAGTTAAATCGACAAAAATCATCAGGTGGGCTCATAAATAAAAAAAAAATAAATAAATAAACGGCGCAAAGTTCTTTGCTGTTTTCATAATTTTCACCGCCCGCTGATTCGCTGATTCCGTTACGTTTCGCTTTGATTTCCATTTCTACGTTTAACCGTCCCCTTTATCCCCTTGCAATTTCCATTGCACTTTTTGGCGCGTGCATTCCGCCCTGTGCCCTTCCCCCCTGCTCTTTCACTCGCTTTTGATTTGTTTTGATTTCGCAACAAGGCAACACAGCAGAGAAATGTGCAATGTGCATAGCGACTGATTGATACCCTGTACTATATATAATTTAATTATTTATTTATGTGTACGAAACCTACGATTAATGCTGGAAAATATTAAAAGACAGTTTCACATAAATTTTTTTTGTTATTATTATTATTATATCAAATTATTTTCGTACAATACTTAGATGAGTAAAAGAATGTTATTATAAAATCGGTATACTCCTTACCACTTGTTACTGAAAGGTATAAGTGCAGCGGTGAAAGAAAAACAACAAGTTGGCGCACATTTTGCGAGCTTTTTCCCGCCAAGTTCGATTTCAATAAGTTTTGAAATATTTTGGTGGCTAAACTTTTGCGCAATTAATTTTTGCGCGTGTTACTACTTTTTTTTAGGGCTTTTTTTCTCTTTTTTTTAAATATACATATTTGCTGGTTACGAAAATGGGTGCATGAGGAGAAAAACCAACTGCGTAAATAAAGACCAACTAGTAACAGTGGCGCTGCGTCATTAAGTTTTCACTTCCAGTTTGTCAAGAATTCGACGAGCTTTCAAAAAATGGACGTAACGTAACCTGGAACACTTCACTTCAATCAAATGCATCGATATGGTATAGCCATGATATAGCTAAATTATAGTATTGAAATAATATTTGCATTGAAACCTAATATAATAGAATTATTCTTCATATTTGTGAAAAATAAATATGGTTGGTTGTTTTTAAATGTTTTAAATTATTATCTTTTATCAATTTATTTATTATAATATATTATAATAAATTATAATATAATATATACAAACATTCATAGTCAAATTACCAGATCTTAGATTGATTAGATTTCAGTAAATATATTCTTCATTAATTTTATAATTTATTTTTCTTTTTTCTAGAACTTGATAAAAAACTTTTTAAAATTTTAAATACCTTTTTTTAATATTAAAATATTTTTAATACATTTAATCGCATCTCTAGTCATAGTTTTATTTGATATTTAACGGTTTACACGTGCATCAACAATGTAGCTTTAACGACGACGTTAATGTATGCTTGTAATATATATAGTAAGTTGTATTAGGAAGTATATACATATGTATGTATATATGTATGTATGTATGCATAGTAGCTGATAAGGTGGACTGAAGCCGAGGACAGGTGTGCTTTTGTAATTGTAATGGCAATTCAAATGCTATAGTCTGGTTTTATACTATATGAATACCGTTATGCTCGTGGAGGCCCGAAACAGTCGCCCATTGATAACGTAAAGTAATCGTAAATTGCATTTTTGCGCACTAGATTTTTTTGTAGCAACATTGTAGTTATCTAAAATTTGTTACTATATTCTTTTAGCCACATTTAGTAATGCTCTTTTTAAACTACAAAATATGTATAAATATATTATTAAAATTTTAAAGTTTTATTTAATTTAAATTCCAAAAATATAGGAAGCCTTGTCAATTTATTTTATAGAATTATTTCCGATTCATTTTTTTTACTAACCAAGTGTATTTATTTTGCACATTTTCGATTGGGTAATATAATTTACCACTTTTTAGGCGCCTTTCGTATCAGAAAAGATAACGCCTGTGCAAACCTTCAATAATAAATTATTTGAGGAGCTCAATACTCAAGTATTTCGGCATAACTGAATCATAGGGGCAATTATAGACGTAAAACCCCACTGAAGGTCGCGATTGGAAGGCGAGGATTACTTTTAAAGGGATTGTATTGTGTTTTGTTTTTTTAAGTGTCTTTGGGGGACTAGGCCTAGGGGAAGTTATTTACTAAACACAAATACTGACCATATGCGTCGATTTTGGGGTCAGGACTTTTGTTTGTTGTATTAAAAAAAACAGTCCTGACCCTGGAAAAATTAGAACCATTTAAAAGTGTTAAACAATTAAGTATTTTAGGTAGTATTAACAATTTAATTTCAAATATCAAGTATTTAGATCTTTGATAATAATAATAACTCATTATACCAATTACTTGGTAATAATTGAAGCCTCAATTTAATGAGTAACTCGATTACAACAATTATTTGCATGGCTCTATTTTCGTAAGGAATCGTGTTCGGTCTTGTTTACATCGAATACCCCCATCCCCCTTTGCAGCTCATCATCATTCACTGCTTTTATTTATGGCGCCTTCTGTGCTTTTTGTGCTTTCTCTATCGTTCCCTATTTATTTTCCTTCTTGCCTTCGTTTGTTTTTCGCATTTTCCACTCGTTGACACATTTTGCAAATTTTCAAAGAGCATGCAAAGGATTACACAAAAAGGTGTTAAGACAGCCGGCAAAAGATGATAGTAGGGGAAAGAAGAGGAACAGAGCGGCAGCTGCAAAAGCATCGAAAAAGCGCTGGGCGCAGAGGAGGAGGAGAAGGAGAAGGAGCCGGCAATCGTTGAATGAGGGGAAGGAGACAACGCAGAAAAAACAAAAACAAAATATAAAACGAAGACGCTGGTACAGTTGCGCTCACATATATGCACACACTGGCAACAGAAATTTGTGCACATTGAGGAGAAACTGCAGCGCGGTGCTTTTATTATTTATTAATTTAGCGAAAAGCAAAAGTCGCTACTTATTTATCTTTACCCATTACCCCCATCTACTGTGGCCCTTTTTGCTTTTGCTTTCGCCTAACTGCACTCAAAACAAAACGAAGAACTGCGACGCCAGTGATGGAAAGAAAGATAGAGAGAGAGGGAGAGAGACACGGTGTCCAGACAGACAAACAAAACACAGAAGGGAACTCTGAGAGAGAGAGCAAGAGCAAGCACCAGAGCGAGCTCAGTTCACCGTAAAAGCTCGCTATAAGCTCGAGAGCTCCCACTTGCCATCCCGTTCTGCCGGCTAGTATTCGTTTTTTTGCCGGTATTTCATCAACGCTTGAAACGATATAAACTGACTAATTATAGAACATTTTGCAAATGCGGCCCAAAACAAAAGGTGGGCAGAAAGGCGGCCAAAACGGGGTGGGGTAATATTTGGGGGAAAAAATTGACAGAGGAAGAAGGTTGGCCAGGAGAGGAACATGAAATCTGCGGCAACCGAGTCCGCGTGTGAGTGTTAAACGGTGAACGATGGAGAGTGACAAGCGGAGAGAGAGAGAGAGAGCGAGAGGAGCCAGGAGAGAGAGCTCGTGCAAATTGAGTGAGTTTTGTATTTATGTTTCTGAATGTTTATGGCGTTGCTTAGACTCAAAAATGTTGCAGCAACATTGCTTTTTGATGTTTGAAATATTTAAAAGCTAAGGGAAATAAAATAAATATACACAAAATAGGCAATTAGGGGTTTATTTAATTATAAATCATATTATATGTAACAATGGCATGACTGTCAAATGTTACTAAATATATTTTAAAAAGAAGTTTTAGTTAAGCTTTTTGATGTTGCCGAAACATTGTTTGCCGCAGCTGTGCTTAGCACTGGCAACATTTTAAAAGAAGAAACATTTAAAAACTCTAGAATTTTTAAATATTTTAAATTCTTAAATATATTTCAGTTTAAGATTATTAATTTCAAAAGTTTTCCTTAAAATTTGTTTACAAAAGATCAATCTTGCTAATTTTTGCTTGAATAATGCAATTTTTATTGTTTTTGGTTTTGTGTATATTTTATTTATTTAAATATATGTTTCTAATATCTCCCCCGACACTCATAGCTTTTATCTGTTTTTTTTTTATGGATCCCCAAATGTCCACCTTTCAACTTTCACTTTCACTCTTAGCCTCACTTTCGCTTTGAATTCATCCCCAAAACACACATTACATTTCTTTTTTGGGTGGAATATAAATTTGTACATAATATTGTTTACCCCCCACTATCCTTTAATTAAATTCAATTAAATTAATTAAAGTTAGATCATTGAAATGTCTAAGGGAGCAAGTGTTTATAGGATTTTATTTCCTTATTTAAGAAGTATGTTTCAATTGAAAAGTTTATAATTATTTTTAATTATATATTAATTATTTATTTATGTATATTTTATTATTTATTATACTATTTAAATATTTATTTTATAAAGCAAAACAGTTATTTTATAC